TTACTCTACAAAGAAGGAATACTAGAGCAGAAGTCCTAGAATTTTCCTTTGCTACACACATTTTCCCATGAAGTACAGTAGTAATACATGTGTGGTTACAGCTTTCCTGTTGTGACTGAGTTCTTCTTTTTTTAATTAAGTTTATTGGCATTATTTAGGTATACAGTACAGTTACATTCATCACTGGGATCTTGTACCTTTACATGATGTGTCTTGGTTCTTATTTTTTCCCCCTGTATGGAGTGCTTTCAAGCACTTGATAGTCAAAGTGCTATTACACTGCTGTGCTAATCTCTGCCTACTATATCCTATGGGATCACTTTGTCCACAAAAAGGACTGAATTCTAGAGCTTAGGTCCCAAAGATCAGGAAAACAAGGTGTATCCTCTAGACTTTCCACATATTTTCTATGGGCTGGTGTTTTATTTTTAAACTCTCACTTTTTTGCCAATTCGACTGGTGATTCACAAGGCTAAAGGAGCCTGTTAGGATGATCAATATGAGGGTGATTTGTTAAGTATCTAAAGAAAAGCATCTAATAATATCATGGGGAAAGGGAGGTTTGTACATAAAATAAACACGAGTAAAACTGTAGGGGATTCTATGTAAAATATGGCAGTAAGCTATGGAAAGAAGGGAGCTAAAGTGAATGGCTAGCAAGAGTTTTGTAATCCAGCCTTGGAAAGGTAAGTGAAAGTGTGTTTAAAATCTCCCAGCCTTAGAAAGACTCCTATTTTCCAAAATAGGGAAGTCTAAAATGAAGTCCAGGAGAGGGGATTCATGAGCCAGGTTAGAGTATTTTCCTATGTTTTCCTCTGCTTTCTCACAGAAGTCTCAAGGGTGTGGCTAAAGTTATTTTAAAAATTGTTAAAAAGAACAATATCCTTGGCTTGGAAGCATCTCCCCTAATGAGTCCAAACAGAATACATTAATAAACAGTACCAAGGGTGTTTTTAAGTAGACATATTACTCAGCTTCTCTGGAGACACAATTACAATTCTGTGCAAAAATAAATAGTTACTTCTTCACTAGGTTTTTAAAATTTTGGTGATTATGACAAAAGGCGAAGAAAAATACTGGAAAAATAATAATTACCTTAATTTTCTCCATATGACTTTATTTTATTGATAAGCCTCACTAATCTGGTTTTCTACTCTAACACAGATTGAATGCCACTGATGTCAGCTCTCACCTTAAAAACCCAACAGTTTCTCAGTCTTCGTCACCCTCTATTAAGGTTCTATGTCCTTGCCTGCCAGACTTCCCATGAATCACAGTTCTTTGGGGGTAAAGGGGGTAATGGAAATCGAATGCAAGGCCTTTCCACTGAGCTACCTCCTCAGGCCTTTTTAATTTTTAAAATTTTGAGACAGGATCTTGATAAGTCACTAAGTTGCTCAGGCTGGGCTCAAACTGGTGACCGACCATCCTGCCTCAAAGCACTGGGATTTCAGGTGTGCACCACTATGTCTGGCTACCTTTAAATTTTAAGGCACCTGAATTACCATCTGTCATATGCAAGCATGAAATATTCTTGATGGTACAAGGGGGAATTAGCAATTTAATATGCTACAAAATACTCTGAAAAGCACATATAAATATACACCCAGCATTTACCTCATGGTTTTACATTTTAAGTAATTCAACTGAAAATGAAGAAATACTCAGTTAACATGAAACATTTAATTTAAAAAACAAAAGACTAGTCAGAAATTCCCAATATGTATAAACGAGATTTGATATGAAATTTGAAGCTGCAAAAAGAAATGGAGAGTTTATGCTTACAATATAAGTAGCTTCTATCCAACACTAGCACTCACCAGGAGGACTACCCCTCACAGCATCAAGTTAGGTTACTAGAAGCCCTCTGATAAAAAGGAGATTGTAACAGGAAAACATATTCTAATATTAAGGAAACTTTGTTTACATAATGGTTCAACAAAAACTGAAAACATTTAAATTTGCTTTTAAAAAGTTTAAAATACTAGATCATTCAAAATTAATGAGATATTTGAAAAGAATGTTATTCCACAACGTATATAAAAGTACTCATCTCTCCTAAAGAAGAGACTTCTACTGAGATATCAAAACAGAGTGTTTAAAATATGATATATGAGACTTGATGGTTAGTGAAGAGCTTACTAAATTAAAATCCAGCATTCATCTGACTTCAGTAGTATGAGCATTTGTGGCTCAAAATAGGAACTGGATTCCATAGTGCACATGGCCCTAGTATTCAGATCAAGAGAAAAGCAACAGAAAAGAGTGAACAATTCTTAAAAACTTTAAAAAAGGAGAATGGCTTTCTCTTGTCCAATTTCCACCTATTAACACTGTTTTTTGTTAAATGGGAACAAAGTTCCCTGGACTTAAGAACTTCTTTAGATCACCAAAAAGCAGCAGGTTTCAACCAAAACCACAAACTGCTTCCTTGTAATATGACATTGCACCTAGGAAAACTTTGACTGGGATTTTTAATGAATTCTCCCAATTCTTAATAACTTTCATGTGTCATAATTTTCACTAACATTGAAATACATATTTTGAAGAAACAAAAGAGCATAATGCCTAAAAGTCAGCACCTATTTACTTACCTATGGATTCAATTTCTCACTACAGCAAGAAGAAAAATACATATCATCATACAGTATAAGAATTTCCATAAGGATTTTTAATATGAAAAAGAAAACAAAGCATCTTCTTTCCTTAAACATGACCTTTTCAGATAAGAAATTTAACTTGGAAGCAGAAAAATGCCTAAATTAATCTTTTCCAGTTTCCACAGCAGTTTATAATCCAAACCACCTTTTAAAAACATATAGGTCATTGCTTATATTAAAGTGACAAAATATGAAATTAAACATTTCTTATTAACAGTGATCCTCTATTGTATTGTCAGAGATGGAATTCCAAATCACAGCCCTAGCTTTTAGTCAAATTGACAATTACAATGCAAATACTGAGGCTTGGTTTCTCAAGAATAGGGGTGGGAAGCAATCTTCCTTCCCTCTTTCTTTGTAATTTTGTGCATTCTGCAAAGAGAGAAAAAAATAAGTACAGAAAATTTCTCTAATTTTCTCTTGCAAAAAAGAACAATTGTCTCTTCAGTACTATTCTTATGCCTATCTGATGCAATCTACTTTGAGAATAAATGTATAAAAATCAAGGTGAAAAGAAGATACCCACATGCTGTATCTAATTATTCAACAAAATATCCTCTTGTAATTAATTACCAACTAACAAGGGTATGCCTCCTTTTGTGAAATGGAAAAAAATGGAATTGCTAAAATGAAAAGCAGATATTTTTTCAACTAACATAATTTCAGGGTTGCAATTTTTGTTCCTAATTTTGAATTGGCAGCGTCTCTTAATATTTAAAAAACTGTCAACTGATAAAAGCTAATACTCTGAAAGTACACATTAGTATATCTTTAGAAATTTTAGGAAAAAAAACATCGTTTAAAAAAGTTTTTCATTTGTATTTAATCTTTTGGTTTTCTTTTTGTTTTTAATTTTTATACTTTATATATAGATCTAAGAAACAAAGGAAATTAGTCTACACCACACCAAGTTCTTCCTTACAAAAACAGTCCATAAATGTAAAACAAAAAAATGGATCTTTTAAAAATTACTATTTTCACTTACAGTAATAATTGTTTCAGGTAAGAATCAAAACAGATACTAAAAGTATTATGTGATAGTATGATTTTAAAAGAAACAGTATTTTCAACTCTCAAACAGTTTCCTCATTAAAAAAAAAGGGACTTAAAAGATTAACAGTAACTGTATAGCAAATAAATCTAACAGCCAACATCATAACCAAGTGTTCAACATTCACCACTAATGTGACCAATCAACATAACATAACTTCTGATACGATACTTTGGCAAGGATAGAACAGCAGTTATCTTGGTCTCCTGCCAAAAGTCTCTAACCCGAATTCAGTCTTAAAGAAATATCAATAAGTCCAACATGAAACACATCCTATAAAATAAATTGCTAAGACCTGCAAAGTCATCACAAATGACAACTGAAAAACTGTTCCAGGTTAAAGGAGACTAAAGAGAGATAATTAAATGCCATGTCTAAATCTGGATGCTTAACCAGAAAACATTGATGACAAAATCTGCATAACCTATAGATTAAATGATGCTATTGTACTGACGTTGACTTCCTGATTTTATACTTTAATTAGGGAAGAAAACATATATAACAAATTCCTTAAATGTAAAAGTATTTATTTTACATCTGCAACTTTCTCAAAAATGTCTCTGAACAAAATTGTTCTAATTTTAAACTTTATCATAAATCTAAAATTTATAAACAGTGTAGTACCTACCTGAAGGGTAACACTCTCCATTTTGAGTTTCATAATAAACTAATTCAGGGATTAGCAGAATTCTTCTACAAAGGGCCAAACTGTTAATACTTTAGGCCAATGGGCCATACATTTTCTGTCATTATTATTCAACACTCTCATTGTGCTATAAAAGCACACAGGGATAATACACAAATAAAAAGAATGGTTGTTCTCCAATAAAATTGTAGTTACCGAAATAGTCAGATTTGGCTTTTGGGCCACAATTTAATGACCCCCCCCCAAGTCTAGTCCATGCCCCAAAACAATTAAGCAGAGCAATTTTATTTTCAATGTTCTATGAGCACATGTCAGACACTATGTTAAGTGCATGACTAGCATTAATTCATTTTTGTTTGCACTAATTTGGTTATATAAACATTATTATTATGTCCATTATCCACAAAGGAAAATAGGGCCTAAAGGAGTTTAAAAACTTGGCTGGGGTCACAAAGACAGCAAGTATCAAACAAGGTAGGTCTGATTCTACACAATGAGCTTAACCAATATTCTATACTACTTCTTATATGGGGTTAAATTATACTGTCAGGTACAACAACTAAAGAAGTACAACTATTTAAACAATGGTTAAATAATTACCCAAATTCAAGATTTATACTCCAACAAAGTGCTTCTTACAAACCTCCTGTAGCTGTAAGGACATCAATCCCAATTGATCCTGGCGTCTTTCCACCAGCTCTCTTTCTGTACGCATCTCTCTTTCTATTTCCTGAAGCCTCCGCTCCACTCGATCTGAAACCTCAATATGAGTAATGGCAAACAATAACATGATAAAGCTCATAAGAGACTAAATTGGGGCAATAGCTTATGTCAGATACATCACTGCCTGCAGCATTTAATTTGCACATATTTGTAGTGCCCTGTTTAATGACACTATTATGAAATATCTGACATCAAAATCAAAGTCACAAAAGACAGCAATCATTGCTTTTTAAGTAATCTACACCTGGAATTAAATAACAGGCTGCAAGTTTTCCAAACTACAATACAGTATTTCAACTGCTCAAAGTTAAAAATAATATAGTGGAAAAGAGTGCCCTCTGGTGATTTAGGAGGAAAATACCAACATTGACAATAAACTGTATTTATTATCCAATTAATGATAAAATGTTCTATCCATTTAGTTATTTTTCACTATAATCTTTAGTATGACCTGCTTAGGAAGTTTTGATGTTTATGTGCAACAAGTAATTAAAGGGGAATTTCACTGGTTTGTCAATCTTTTCAATGATGATCTATGGAAAATAAATGAACTACAAAAGATCAAAAATAATTTCAAACTGAAATATGTTTGAAGCATTCATTTTTTCCCTTGACACAGACTGTCCTTACCAAAAGCTGTGCAAATTCTAACACATTTCATATATATACTTACATAGCCCCCAAATAAAATTTACACTTTTCAACAATCTGTATGTTTGGTGCAAGAGGATACATACACCAAATACAAGATATTACGTATTCATTTCAATGAAGCAATAAATACAGCTCTCTTATAAACAAATCTTTTGCCACCAATTCTGTGTTTGACAAAAAGACAAGAATGATCTGGTAATGAGGAACTTATCGTAATGTTGAGAATTTTCTAAAATAGTTTGTGTGATGGTTAAATAGCTCAGTAAATATACTAAAAATCACTGATTGCACATTCAAAGTAGACTAATTTCATGCTATAGTACAGCCAAATCAAATTGTTTTTCAAAAAGACAAAAACTCTATTTTAATTAGTTAATAAATATTAAGTCAAAAATGTTCTTTAAAAAAATTAGCAGTTTATACTTACTAAGACTGACAAGTCTTGTGGATTTAATTTCTAGTGGAGAACAATTTTTCTAGTAGAAAACTTTAAAAGAACTAGATATACCTGCTAAGGTATTCACAGTGCTTTAATAAAAACTCTATTCATCAGCAAATAGCTCCTAATTTATCCTAGTAATCAACTGCAATACTACAAGTTACTATTGCATCAAAATAAATACAGCACATGCTGTAAGCCACAATAAATATTAAATAACACTGTGCATTCATTTTTACAAAATAAAAATATTTGTATTGTTCATTAACTAAAAAGATTTATAGCTGGGCCCCAATCCACCACAGGAAGGAGAGCCACACCTTATCCCGCCCCAGCAGCCATCACTCCAGCACCAGGAAGGTAGTCGTGCGGGCGGCCCTGAACCCCCATAACTCCCCTTACACCCCCACCCCCACCCCGCGAACGCACTTAGGGTTCTTTGGACCCACTCTGCAGAGGCAGAGGTGGTCATCAAGGGTATTTTTCTGAGTTCCCAACTTTGAACATCTTTAAAGAAAGGGTGTGGGAAACCTGTAGGAGAACGGTATGGAGTTCAACCATTCAGAAGGTTGGGGAACTCAATCTGGGCCTTGCAGCCCGAGGTCAGTCAGTGTCATGGGGTTCAGCCATCAGCTAACTGAGACCAGGGGTCTTGCATCCTCGCTCTGTCTGAGCCATTAAATGGTAAATACACTATATTGAAAGTTTGTTCACTGCAGACATGTTCTGGACTGCTTCTTGATTTCAATTTAATTCAAATGATTTAAGGGTGATAGACTAGTGACTACCACAGGTGGTCAGTTTCCAAGTTTTGCTTGATCTTAATGTGTTGCTGATTGTATCAGTTGAGATAAAGCATTGCCGTTGATTTGATGCGCTGTTTTCTCTGATGTTATGAAGATGAGAATGTCTGTGGATCATTAGAGACAAAGAAGCTAGGGCATAACTATATCAGGAAGATTGAGTGATAACCCAGAGATTAAACCAAGGACAGCTGACAACAAAAATAAAAATGAGAAAACACTTAAGCAAGACACAAAGACAGACTTCCAGTTCACCAATGTCAAACAGTAGGGCAAATGAGGATGAAATGGCTGATAGTGAACCACCAGGACACCCTGAACTCAAAGCACAGGAAGTAACCAAACAGATCAATCAGGCTCTAGAAAAATTCAAAACAGAAATAATTTCCCAGATAACCATAAAGATAGTGAGCAAAATGGAAGTCGTGATTCGAGACTCTAGAGCAGAAACTGACAAAAAAATAGATGAGCTCAGGACCATGATAAGAAGCCATGAAGGCCCAACATAACAAAGAAATGGAAAAAATAAACACCCAACATAGGAAAGAAATGGAATCCATAAAACAGATTCAAACAGATATCCAGGAGATTAAACACTCCATTGAAAGTGTACACAACAGAATAGAAGAATGTGAAGATAGACTCTCAGATATAGAAGATAAGATTGCAGTCAGTGACCATGAAAAGAGAGGTCTCTTAAAAACAGAGATCATGAGAAATCAATCCAACAACTCTTAGATGATGCAAAGAAGAATAACATAAGACTGATAGGAATACATGAAGTGGCAGGAGAAAATATAAATGACTTAAAAAAGCTGTTTGCAGAATTAATGACAGAAAACTTCCCAAACAGAGGGGAATAATCTGACATTCAGATAATTGAAGCATATAGGACCCCAACTAGCTACAATCAAAAAAAATCTACACCTAGACATATAATAATCAAGATCCCAGAAACCCAACAGAAGAACAAAATACTACAAGGAGTAAGAGAAAAGAAACAAATCACGTGCAAAGGAAAGCCCATCAGAATCACAGCAGACTTTTCAACACAAACCCTTGGGGCAAGGAGAGCCTGGAATGAGATATTTCAAGTACTAAAAGAGAACAACCTCCAACCTAGACTGATGTATCCTGCAAAACTCTCTTTCAAAATGGATGGGGAAATAAGACACTTCCATGACAAAGAACACCTGAGAAACTACATGAATACCAAACCAGCACTATAAGGAATTTTAAACAAGATCCTAGAAGGCAATGAAGGCAACACCATGAGGCCTAACAGAGCAAATCAAATAGGCAAGGCAAGAAACTAAAAGAAGGTGAAAAAGTAAAAAGAGTCAACAAAAGGCCAATAACATGTCAATAATAAATCAGTACATATCAGTTATAACCATCAATGCCAATGGCCTCAACTCACCAATCAAGAGAAATAGACTGGCAAAATGGAATAAGAAGCAAAATCCAACAATATGTTGTATAAAAGAAACACACCTAGTGCAAAAAGAAGCCCACAGACTGAAAGTGAAAGGATAGAAAACAATTATCCATGTGACAGGAGCCCAGAAAAAAAGAGGAGTAGCAATCTTATTTGCAGACAAAGCAAATTTCAAACCAAAACTGATTCTAGTATTATTGATGTAGGACATTAGTATATCATACCTCTGTGAATATAAAATATCTTGTACCTGCTTTATGATACACAGTAGTGACTGTGCTTTATCAGAGCTACAGTTAATGATATTACTCTAGAATGTTCTCTTTCCAGATGAAGATTAAGATGCTAATTAAAAAAATGGTGCCAGGTACCACAACAGCAACAGAACTTTGCTGTTTTCTGGATATTATTCTTTTCTTTGTTTTGTTTTTTTTGTTTTGTTTTGTTTTTTTGAATGGAATGTGCTGAATGTCTATAATTTTGTTCAGATGACTGCAGAACCTGGAAAAGCTGTTGCTGCTATCGATACATAACATACTGCTATTATTAGTCTTTTTATGTAAATATAAA